TCAAAGACTTTATTCGAATTTCAAAACGAATTACCCGCTTTACAATAACATACTTATAAATAATGTATGTCTGCAGCTTAAAAAATTGACTTCTTTCATTCTTGTCCTTTTATTGGTCCACATATACTCTGAAAACAACCATTAATACACAATAGAAACAGTGTGAATATTTTGAACACTACCGTTCAAAAGCTTACCCAAAATACAGTAAAAAAAAAAAAAACAGTAATATTGTAAAATATTATTGCAATTTAAAACATCTTACTGACCCCAAACTTCTGAACAGTAGTGTGTATCCTTATCAAGTCCTTACTAAGGTCCTGAGGCTCAGTGTGGCATCACAATATTCACTGTTGTATATATCAGATACGTCCAGACCACTTGAAAGTCTTCAGGAGCTGCGCAGCTGGTAACTGAATCTTCACTTCACTCTTAACCTTCTAAAACCACAACAAAGATGCAACACAGACAGAGTGCGTAAAAATGGGTACTTTTATCAACATATAGTTTATAGTTAACAGTGCATGAACTAATTCTTACCTCCTCGTTTTCTGTAAGTAAAACTGCAGCAGCCATTGCACAGCAAAGGGCCAGATAACTGTCAGTGCTACAGTGATAGGGGACATGTTTAAAGGCCACCAGGGCAACCTCTAAAAACCAGGATAAATACAGATACGATTAATAATTTCTATTAATATAAAGTGGCATTTCAGACAATGACATTCCAAGTATTTAAAGTAACATAAACAGACCTTTTTTGGTGACTTAGAGTGCTGAGTTTTGAGAGCAAGGATTTCAGCCTAAAACAAAACAAAACATAAGCAAATAGATTAAGTATCAACTGTACTCAAGGTTTTAATAGCTATTTAAAGGGATAGTTCACCCAAAAATGACAATTCTGTCATTAATTACTCACCCTCGTGTCGTTCCAAACATGTAAGACCTCCGTTCATCTTCGGAACACACATTAAGATATTTAATATTTAAGATATTTACCGATCTCCTTGCTATGTTTCTGGACCTTGATCGTGGTAGTTACCTTGCTGTCTATGGGAGGGTCAGAGAGCCCTCATATTTCACATGTCCAGGTCACACTGAACCTCAAAATTAAAAGAAAAGGTAATCCTATTTAAGCCAAAAATCTTAGGACAATTTTGAATATTTTTAGAACCTGTTCTTTTTGTTGTTCCAAATATTCATATACATTATATTTATATAAAAATATTTTTATATTCTTACAAATGATTCTTTAAACCAATTTTAATAAAATCTATATATATATATAAATATATATTTAAAAAAATGTATCAGTTTCTACAACTGTTGATAATAATAAGAAATGTTTAATAAATCAGCATATTAGAATGATTTCTGAAGGATCATGTGACACTGAAGACTGGTGTAATGATGCTGAAAACAAATAGGAATAAATTACATTTTAAAATATATTAAAATTAAAATAGTTATTCTAAATTGTAATAATTTTAAAATATTACTGTTTTACTGTATTTTCAATCAAATAAATGCAGCCTTTGTGAGCAAGAGACTTCTTTCAAAAACATTAAAAAATTATTTCTGACTTGAGCCATAAAATTACTGCAATACAATATTTTTTTTAAATCATAATAGAATTGTTTTACAATTGGATTTATTTTAATTATGCAAAATGTATGTTTTTCTTTTATTTATTTTCAAGCTTCTTGAGCCTGTCACAGACTTGAAAACATCACTGGAGACTGTACCTTCTCTTGTGTTGCTGGATTTTCCATTGAGTCACTGTACATCTCATCGTCTGAGTCATCTGCGTGATATTTGGTGAGAATGATGTCATCAAATCATATTTTTCAAACACAGATTATAACAGACACGCCGTTTACTTTATATGCCAATGTAGTTTCATTAAATGACTGCTAAATCTTAGCCCCCAAGTTTTAGTTGGGATAAACCGTATACCTTGGGCCTAGAAATGGAATGAAAGACCAGAAACTATACCATAAGTCAATTCCTCCTCTTCCTCCCCCGTGTTCAGAGAACTATGAGCGTCATCGGTTGAGGAGGACATGCTGTTCTCCTCACTTTCATTAAACACTGATGAACCTCCTCTCCCTGCTGCAAATGTGCTCGAGTCTGCAGAATAGAAAAGAGCTGAGAAGTCCTCGAATACAGTGTTATGAATCATTTCAGATCACCGTCTTGAAAATAAAGACACAAAGTAGTTGCTGTACCTTTCCTCCTCTTCTCCATCTCCATCTCATCTTCCTTATTTTCCCCATTCATTTCACTTTCCCCCTCTTTAAGTTTCTCAGCAGCATCATCAGTTTTTTCGGCATTAGTGTTTCCCGTTTCAAAATTAATTAAAATATGAAATGTTGATTAAACAGGCACAAATAAGGACAAATTTTATGGTTAAGTACTTTAAATGCTTCTAAATAAAGTACCTGTGGATAAGGGTGCTGCTTTACTGAATGCATCATCTTCATCGTCATCATCATCATCATCATCTTCCGCCACCATCTCATAAAATGGGTCAAGAGCGTCCATTAATTCTGCCATCCTGTCTGTGACCGGGAGGGTTTCAATTATCTATGATAAAACATTTGATTGTTTCTGGTTTAAACTCTTTTTATTGATACCTCAATACGATAGAGCTTCATCTCTGCAATCTATACAACTACCAACCTGCTGTATTTCCTGAACATATTCCATCATGGCTTGGTCCTTTGACATGTTTCCCAAGGTTTTCCATGCCTCCCTGCAAAGAACACACATGTGTTTGGGTTTAATATTCATATTTACAATAAGTAAACATTTCAATTGAATAGATACACCATATTCAAAATGGCATGTAGATTTAAGTTAAAAATCATCTACAAAAAAAACCATATTTTGGTGATTATATTTACCATTTAGCTTTACCAATAGGATCCCAAGAGTTGGGTTTCGGGGTGTTACATGGTCCTGCTGTAGCTTGTTTGTAGTAACTGTAGAACATAACCAGCATATCATCAGACAGGTCATAGGAGCCTGTGTGAAATGAGGAAAGAATGATTAAAAGAAGATATTTCATTGTTATTTAAAAAGAAAACCGTGTAGTTCAATACTTGACACTGATGTTTAATACTTAATATAGAGGTATTACCATCTTCAGGTAAACTTCGGATCACTTTAACAGCCGCTTCAAACCTCCTCTGAATGGATTTGGGATCTTCCATTGCCCTTCGTGTCATGCACAGGTCTACATCCTGATTGACAGATTGTCAGAAAATGCGATAAACATTTAACCAACAGACGTGAAACAATAAGCATATCATGTTAATAAGGTAATAAATTAAATGTAGACTTAATACTTATTTAATATGTTAATTATATATTGCACACCTTCGGTTAATTAGCCATATCATGTTAATTAATTAACCTTTAAAAATTAAAAATAAACCTTTCGCCATACTAAGAAATTACTGTGTAAACTCTTTTAAAAATGCTCGAAATTTTAGGACACTGAACAACAAAAAGCAAAACACCACATAAAATATTACCACTCACCTCCTGTGTTCGGTCCATCTGAAAAAAACTGTTCAGTGCGTCCTCCTAGGTATTAACTGAAACAGTTGCAGTTGGGGTGATGTAGTTTCCAATGACGCCAGACCCAATAGTGATGAATAGAAAGTAGCGCGCCTTTATCCTACATGATCCACAATGCCTTGCGAAAGGATATTTAAACAGATTTTGCTCATGCTGAGAATTTTAGCAAAAAGCTGTCCATTTTCTGAAAAATCAGAATAGATCAATTCAGAATATACAATAGGTTTATTATTTTTAACAACATCGGCTCCGTCAGTTACATTTTCTAGGTCTTTGATGCTTTTTACTTCTAAGGCTGTGGGTGTTTGGGCTTTTAAATTATTGTAGGTCAGTTGTAGTGCTTAGTGCGTATATCGTTCATAATTTATTGTCGCATTATTATTACTTTATTTTATTATACCAATATTTGCATAGCATTATCATCACGGTATAGCATGATTACATTATTTTATGTTATGAAAAGCCTAGGATTACCTCTAAAGAAACTTAAAACAGCGGCACATTCTTAATGTCTAAAAAACATTGCCCGCAACGGTGGACAAAACTCATTAGTCTTAATACAGCCCTCGGTGCAACTCTGCTGCTTGTCCAATGTCACATTCTGGTCAGAATGCTGTTGTAGAAAATCGCGGCATTTCTCATCGCTGAGAAAATCGTACTCCTCTCCCATTGGCCAATAACGAATTCTCAGAGCCGAACAGCCAATCACAGCCCAGTGCGTAAAGCGCTGCGTTGAGAATAGGAGGCCTGCTGAAAAAGAGGAGCCAACGGGAATCCCACAATGCCAGGCGAGGGACCTCCTGTCGGAGAGTGAAGCTCCGCTGGTTTCAATGAAAGAGGGGGAGAAGAGTAATGCAGAGGGATGTAAGATGGCAGAGCTACAAATGTTGTTAGAGGAAGAAATTCCGGCTGGAAAAAGAGCCCTTGTGGAGAGCTACCAAAACCTTTCAAGGGTCGCGGAATATTGCGAGAACAATTATGTGCAGGTACGGATCGAAGAAATTACCTTCTACTTTCATGTATTGTCTGAATCAGTGTGGATGTGATTGAAATGCGAGCACTGCATATGTAGCGTTACAGAGGATCCTCATCGAAACGCTTACGAGGGCGCATCGAGGCGTGATATCTTCCTTGAATATGAATGCTGAGCGTTTGTATTTGGACGATATTTGCGTTGTTTAAGGCTAATGCACGAATTCACTTTCGGAGGGTGTGTCAGAGACGTGCCGCTTTCGCTACGATGGATGGAGACAGCTCTTTAAAAAAAAAAAAAGAAGATATAATAGCTTAATGGTCAAAGTATCGCCTCAAAGATTGTTAGAAAACCAATCTAGTTTTACGATATCTAATAGCATATTGCAGGTCAAGCAGCGTCAATGTATCGACTGCAAATGTGTTTGAAGCCAGTACGTCATTTTTCGAACTTATACGTCATGCTCTGGATGTTACAGTGTTTCATTTGTCCGCGGGATTCTGCTGTTCGCTTTCTTTTGAGGTCCAGACGGGTGTCATGCCTCTTGGGGTGACCGTGTGAATGTGACGAAAGCCCAGATATTCGATATTCATTTCAACCTCTAAACGCTGTTGAACTTCGTCCACGTTTTATATGCCGCTGGAACGTGAAATAAAAGCGTTTCACCACCAGTGCAGTGAATATCATTGATGCGCGCGCGTATGTGTATATCACATTGTATCTGTGAGGTAGAATGGCGAGACGCCTAGACGCGAAATGTCGGTGATAGTGTGAATTAGTTATTGCTGACACACCTGTGTGTTAATGTGTCTGCCCTCACTCAAGCCTTTTCACTCACACACCGACAATAAAAGCACATGACAGCGAGAGAGCCTGTTGGGAAGCATTGCTTCAGATGTCCAAATGTTGCAGTATATTCTTTCAAAGTAAATGATAATCCTAGAAGTTCCTTTTAATATAGTGATCTTTTGTTATGATGCATATCTATTGTTTTATTAAAGCATGTGTGTGACATTCTGCAGTGATGGTGAGTGGAATAAGAAAGAAATGATCAGTCCCTTGAATGATTTAATCACAGGTTCATGTATCACCAAAGGGACATTTAGGTTGATGATGATCAGTTGTTTAGTTAAACCTTACCTTAGTATTTGTTTAACCCTCAGTTGGACTGACACAGCTTAGACACAGACAAGCTTTACCTGATATTAGGTCTGAAAGAAATAACATTCACTTTGAAATTCATCTTGGTGAAATTTCTGATCGGTGGGAATGCCATTTGATTTGATTTCATCTCATAGCCTAGTTTTTGTTTATCTCTCCCTACCCATAAAGCCAGCTGTCCGCAGACCATAACTCAATACTTCATATAGATTCAAATTTATTGAACTTAGGAAAAGCCATATAAATGTATGAGGAAGAGGTTTATAAAAAAAAAAAAAAAAAAGTAGTTCCGTTTCACAGCTCTGTCCCTACTTTTTGTCAAAATGATAAATGCGGCTTTGTTTTGGGGAAGGTTTTGGATTTATTTGGAAATATATAGCAATATTTTTTGCTGATAAAATGATTGGACATTTCATCATGATATGATCTGACATCAATTCTCTTTGCCAGCAATATAATATTTGCCGATACGATTAGGCTTGTCACGATAACAACTTTTTGTTGTGCGATATATTGCCCCAGAAATGATTGCGATAAGCGATATTATTGTCATTTTATGCCACTGAATATATAATCATAATGTAACAGCGTAATATTGCAAGAAGGCCTATACACACTTCCAAATGACAACAAACTTTTACATTTTAAGAATATTTAGATCATGGAAATTAAGTATCAAAATGTTAGATATACCTTAAAAACCTGAATAAATAGTAAATAAACATGTTCTAACAAAAAGTGCAAAGTAACAAATTTAAAAAAAAGAAAAATGCACAAAGAACTTGTATGGAGATTTTTCCATCTACAGATTTTTCCCTGACCTTCTTTTCTCTGTAAATTAAGGGTGCACACTATTGCTGAAAAACACAATCACTACTTAGCAGTCAGATGTCCGTATGCACAAAGGAACAGATCCCTAAACAAGACCATATCTGCAGATGAAACTGTTTGTAGAAGAATTTTTTTAATTTGAACTAGCTTCTAATGACTACACCACGTTATGTACGAGAAGCTGCAAAAGACACAGGCGCAAGTGGAATGTACAAAACATGGTGACATTAATTTTTAAGTAAATATAATGTGCAATATATTGCGTCACCAAAAATTATTGAGGTCATGTACATTTATTGCGCGATAAGTCGATATATTGATTATTGCGACAGGCCTAGATACGATACCTTAGACCATGATGCGATATGATTACAATTTGATTTGATTCAAAGGCCTTCAAAAGGATATATCATCCAGTTACAATTTTTTTAGCCTATAACTATACACATTATACAAAATTAATATAAAATAACTATTTAATTGAATTCTCTGACAGTTGCAAATCCTGTATCCCAGTTGGGACGAGCATAACAAAAATACACGTTAGTTTTCTAAACAATGTAGGAAAATTAATTTAAAAAGCACATGAGATTATCAGGCATCTGTTGACAGCTCATTATTGCCTTGTGTAATGAAAACCGTGACAACAGTCGAGAGTTTTTCAGTCTTCTGTGCTCTAAAGTGTGCAGATCTTATAGATTTGAAGTTACAACCTTAATGTGAGAATAGTTTTTGCCTCATTTTTCACATTTTTGCAGTATGGCTATAATACACTTGTATATTCTGACTAATAAAAATACATTTTAATAATACATTTAGAAAGATACAAAAAGTTTGAGAGCAAGAATGTTGGGAATCTAATGATATGTTTTGCATATTTAGTGGAGAGCCTCTGTTTTTGAACCCTCATGTGAGTTGATTTAGCAATGATACATTCTCAGATATTCACAGAGGACTCATGAGAGGACTAAATGATTCAAAGATGTTTCTCTTGTGGCTTTGGTGGGTGTCTCGTTCTGGTCCAGAGCAGGGCTCTCTGGCACTAGACAGTCATATCTTGCACCCTGCCCGTTGAATCAGTATTAAAACCATTTGTGACTGAATTCTAGAATCATGCGTCATGCAGAATGAATCATGGTTTAGTAATGTGTTCATTTGGGCATGACAAAGAATTTGTACACTATCTTCAAAATTTAGGGCATTTTTTCTTTTGAAAAGAATTGATACTTTTATTTCGGAAGGATGCTTTAAATTGAGTAGAAATGAGAGTTAAGGTTTCTTTCCCACCAGATTTTTTTTGTTTTTTCAAGAAATTATTACTTTTATCCTGTAAGGAGTCTTTAAATTAATCAAAGTGACAGTAAAGGCATTTGTAATGATAAAAATGACCATTTCAAACAAATGCTTTTTGAACTTTCTCTATTCAATCAGAGTTGTCGCAAAAATGTTAAGCAGTTTTCAACTATTTTCAACATTGATTACTATTAATAATAATAAATGTGTCTTGAGCAGCAAATCAGAATATTAAAATGATTTCTGAAGGATCATGTGACACTGAAGCCTTGAGTAATGATGCTGAAAATTCAGCAGAAATAAATTACAAAATGTATATATTTTTTAAAAATGTCAAATCAAATTTAAAATGTACTACTTTTTCAAAATGGTACTGGTTTCACTAGCCTATATTTTAATCAAATAAATGCAGTCTTGGTGAGCATAAAATATACCATAAAAACAATTTACAAACCCCAAACTTTTAAATATAAGTGTACATTTATAAATATGAATCATAGTCAAGTAGGGATGGAACGATTACCGGTTTCACGATAAATCACGATAAAATGCCCTGACGGTTAGTATTATCGTTTAAAATGTAATTATCATCAATACCGTATTTGATTATCGCGATTTTGAAAACTCGCGGTAAATCCTGTCCAGCCAGCATCAGTCTGACGCAGAAGCAGCATGGAATGTTGTTGTTGTTGTTTTTGCACAAGACGAAATGGCGGAAGGCAGTGACAGCGCTCAGGAGATTTTTCAGCCATCTAAGAGGACCAAATCGGTGGTCTGGTCGTATTTTGGCTTTTACAAGAGTACTGAAGGCAATTTAATCGAGGACGGTCACCCTGTCTGCTGATCTTGCAAGAAGAAAGTCGCTGCAAAAGGGGGAAACGCATCAAATTTGCTCAGTCATCTTCGTGACCACCACCCACTGTTATATAGCGAATGCAAGGTAACTTTTACCTCAATACCAAAACTAACTGGGCAAATAATTGGACAAAAAATATTGATTAGAGATTAAATATTTCGTTATCTCACTTGTAATTAACGCAAAGCTTCCGCAAAGAAAAGTTCGCAGCAAGTGGCTTTGAGCCAAGACCTAAAAAAAAGTGCATATAGCTGCTAATTGTATTTGTTGTTTGTTGATTTTCAAATATAAAACTTATTGAAATGTTTTTAGTGTGTCTATCAGTTCTTTTTGAACATTTTCATCTAATTAAAAAAAAAACGTGATAGTATTGATAATCGTGATAACTTTGGTCACTATAATCGTGATATGCAATTTTCATACCGTTACATCTCTATAGTCAAGACTTGTTATGACATTTTGGACATAATAAGTGAAAGCCCAGCAGTACCTGATAAATGATCACGTTATTAATTATTAAAACATATTGCTTTACGCCGTCTAAATCATAAGTCATTCATTGTTTTAGAGCTGTTGGGCAGCAGTCTAGTAGGACATTGTGGAATATCATCACAGCCAGGACATTCATGTGTCCATTCATCTGTATTTCCCCTGTGGCGACAGACACATGGTCTTGAGAACAGCTGAGAGGGACTGACGTGTAGAGACAGGTGGTGTTTGAAGCAGACCTGCGCACAGTGCTGCATGCTTGTTGCAGGCTAATTGTTAACAATATAAGATTAGAGTCAGTTCTATGGGTTTCATGTATACTCGTCAGCTATAGTATTCATGTCACAGTATTCTGACATGGTCACAATCAGTATGCTAAAGCTAATTCTTTTACATTTTTTTGTTTAAGTGATTGCAGCAGAGAATTCATTGCTATTCATAATTGGTAGATGCAAGACCAAGAAGATTTGGTAATCATGCAGCAAAGTGCTGCTTACTATTGCTCATATTTGAGGTTAGGGATTTGAACAAACCCATATATTTACATTAAATGAGTGAAGTGAGCAATATTTATGGACTAGAATCACAGAGACTTGAAAAGTGGGCTTGTTTTGTTTGCGACCACATAGAAATGTGCTAAAATCATATAAAACATTATTTCCATATGTTTAATGTCTTTAAAAGGCAGAGTGAGAAGTCCACATGTGTTTAGTTTTAATGTTTGCTCATGTCTGTGATGCTAAGCTAACTAATAAGTCACTGATGAAACAGGAAATTGTTTGAAATGTGTTGAATTTCAGCAACAATAAGAAATGGATTATCGCTAAAATGGTATCTCAGTTGCATCATGCTCTTGTCTGAAAACTGTTTAACTATAGTTTTTCATTGCCTGCTGGTTTCATCAGATTTTTTTAGGATCATTTGTCACATTAGTTTACAGAATTTCCTGCTTTATTACATGACTGTATAAAATACGTCTTATTGGTCATTCACAGCATTCTGTGGTCAAGTTTTTGTATAATGACTGCTAAACCACCTGTCTCATATTTGTCATATCACACTGCAGTCACTTTCTTATTTCTTCTCAAATCAGTATATTACTGGGGTCTTTTTTTTTTTTGCAATAATATCTGCTGAATTTATGTCATCCCTTAAAGGGTTAATTCACCCAAAAATGCAAATTAGCCCATAAATTACTCACCCTCAAGTCATCCTAGGTGTATATGACTTTCTTCTTTCAGACGAATCCAGTCGGAGTTATATAAAAAATGGTCTTTGATCTTTCAAGCTGTTTCATGGCACTCAGCGGGTTTTGCATGCATCAGTCCAAAAGAAGTTAAATAAAAAGCGCCCATCCATTAAAAAAAAGTGTCTCACACGGCTCCGGGGGATGAACAAAGGTCTGCTGTAGCGAATCGATGCATTTTTGTACGAAAAATAACCATATTTAAAACGTAATAATTTAATCTAGCTTGCGCTCACTGTTGTACACTAGAAGCAGTTCCGGGAGCATGACATATGAGTTCAGCGCTGCGCATGCATAGTCAGAAGTGACGAACGCGGAAGTGCAGGGGAGAGATCAAAACAAAACAATGGTCACTAATTAGAAGTACAAAACGAGGATTTGTAAAGAAGAATGTCGGAGGATTTCGATATAAGCCAAGAGGAGACTGGTTTTCCTTTGCTAAAGTAAGGAAACATTGCTTCCTTTGCTCCTGTTAACAAACATTGGTTTTCACGAGACTCACCGGTGCATGCGCAACGCTGA